AAAGCAAAAGACCTTGTGAAGATGCTGCTGAAGCTTGTAAGAGTGTCATTATCCACAGTGAAATGAGTCCTGTACCAACATGGGCTGAAAGGATACTCAGAGAGGAAGAAGACATTACTCCAAAAGCAACATAAAAAAAGCCAGATTACAGTTTACAAATGCACACAGAGACAAAGACCTTAATTTTTGGAGACATGTCCTGTGGTCTGATGAAACCAAAATTCAACTGTTTGTCCATAATGACCATTGTCGCATTTGAAGGAAAAAGGAGGAAACTTGCAAGCCTGAGAACACCATCCTGACTGTGAGGTACGAGGGTGGCAGCATCATGTTGTGGAGGTGCTTTGCTGCAGGAGGGACTGGTGCACTTCACAAAATAGATGGCATCATGAGAAAAGAGCATTATGTGGAAACATTAAAGCAACATTTCAAGACATCAGCCAAGAAGTTAAAGTTTGGGCACAAATGGGTCTTTCAAATGGACAATGACCCTAAGCATATCGCCAGATTAGTTGTAATTTGGCTTAAGAACAACAAATTCAATGTTTTGGAGTAGCCATCACAAACTGATCTCAATCCTGTACAAAATTTGTGGGCAGAGCTGAAAAAGCTTGTGCGAGCAAGGCGGCCAACAAACCTGACTCAGTTACACCAGTTCTGTCAGGTGGAATGGGCCAGAAACCTGTCAGACTATTGTAAGAAGCTTGCAGAAGGTACCCAAAATGTTTGATCCAAGCCATGCAGTTTAAAGGCAATGCTCCAAATACTAAGGAAACAATTTCTTACTGAAGAAAGTTTAAAAAAAAAGTAAAAGTAAAAAAATCTCTTAAAAAAATCTCTCTCATTATTCTAGCATTTAGCAAATTGAAATCATTTTGGTAATCCCAACTGACCTAAAAAGAAAAGTTTAGTCACATTTAATGTCAGATAGTGAGGGGGGAAAAAAAAGCGGTAAAGTAAAGAAACACAGAAGAGTCGAGGTATACACTAGAGCGAGAAGAGAAGAGAAACATATCAATGTACAGTAAAGAAGCTCTACTGTTTGTCACACTAGATTATCATTGGATATTACAATACAGTGCAGAAGAANTGCACAGTGGATCGGTGGATAGCAACATCACCTCATAGCGAGAAGATCCCTGGCTCGCCGAACAATAACCCTAGGTACTGCAGGAAAGGGCTGGGCGATAGAGGATAGAGATGGAAAAGGTAGGGGCAGTGCTGAAGTCATTCAGTCTGTGCTGTAGTGATCATGAAGGGCTGAATCGGCCTGATCAGTATGCCAGGGTGGAGAAGTGTACACTCTAGAGAGAGAAACTGTGTAATCAGAGATGAAAGTTGTTCAGGGAGGAAGAATACTATGCCTTCAAACTATCTGGGAAAGTCCAGATGACTATGTGATGGCTTTGGAAGTTTTTGATAGGTTAATTGACAACATTTGAGTTAATTGGAGGCACATCTCAAACACGCTGCTCCCCTTTGTGACAACATGGGAACATCTAAAGAAATCAGCCAAGATATTAGGAAGATAATTGTGGACCTCCACAAGTCTGGTTCATCCTTGGGTACAATTTCCACATGCCTGAATGTTCCACATTCATCTGTTCAAACAATTATACAAAAGTATAAACACCATGGGAATGTCCAGCCATCATACCGCTCAGGAAGGAGATGTGCTCTGTGTCCCAAAGATGAACGTGTTTTGGTGCAAAATGTGTATATTAACCCCAGAACAAAAGCAAAAGACCTTGTGAAGATGCTGCTGAAGCTGGTAAGAGAGTGTCATTATCCACAGTAAAGCGAGTCCTGTACCAACACAAGCTGAAAGGCTACTCAGGGAGGAAGAAATTATTGCTCCAAAAGCAACATAAAAAAAGCCAGATTACAGTTTGCAAATACATAGGGACAAAGATCTTAATTTTTGGAGACATATCCTGTGGTCTAAAGAAACTGAAACTGAACTGTTTGGCCATAGTGACCATCGTTACATTTGGAGGAAAAAGGGGGAAAACTTGCAAGCCTGAGAGCACCATCCTAACTGTGAAGCAAGGCGGGGCAGTATCATGTTGTGGAGGTTCTTTGCTGCAGGAGGGACTGGTGCACTTCACAAAATAGATGACATCATGAGGAAAGAACATTATGTGGAAACATTAAAGCAACATTTCAAGACATCAGCCAGGAAGTTAAAGTTTGGGCACAAATGGGTCTTCCAAATGGACAATGACTCTAAGCATATCGCCAGATTAGTTATAAAGAGGCTTAAGAACAACAAAGTCAATGCTTTGGAGTAGCCATCACAAACTGATCTCAATCCTGTACAAAATTTGTGGGCAGAGCTGAAAAAGCGTGTGGAGCAAGGCAGCTAACAAACCTGACTCAGTTACACCAGTTCTGTCAGGAGGAATGGGCCATAAACCTATCAGACTATTGTGAGAAGCTTGCAGAAGGTACCCAAAATGTTTGACCCAAGCCATACAGTCAAAAGGCAATGCTCCAAATACTAAGGAAAAAAGTTCTGACTGAAGAAAGTAAAAAAAAAAAAAGTAAAAGTAAAAAAATCTCTTAAAAAAATCTCTCTCATTATTCTAGCATTTAGCAAATTTAAATCATTTTGGTAATCCCAACTGACCTAAAAAGAAAAGTTTAGTCACATTTAATGTCAGGTAGTGAGGGGGGAAAAAAGCTTATGTGTCTTTTTATACAATGTAATGTACACTTCTGGTTTCAACTGTATTTGGAGACAGGAGCTGAAGAAAAACTGTAAAGACAAATAGAGATCCCTGTATAAATAAATAATAAAATACAATAGAGTACGGTAAAGTAAAGAAATACAGAAGAGTAAAAGTATACACGAGAGTGAGAAGAGAAGAGAAACATATCAATGTACAGTAAAGAAGCTCTACTGTTTGTCACACTAGATTATCATTGGATATTACAATACAGTGCAGAAGAAAACTAATTACAGTAGTTACACACAGCTGTGTACAGTGAAAGAAAACCCCAGGCTACAGTAAAGAAACACAGAGTACAGTACAAATACCGGAGAGAACAATAAATAAATCTAACTGAGTGCAGAAAAACAACTACTGTCACATTAGACTACAGTGGTTGAAGCAAAAAAGTATTGTTGGTAAAAAAAACACATTTTGTGATCTGTTTACTTGAAATGAACTGCATGAAATGTTTTGATGTTGACATCAAGGATGACTCAAGGATGAACAGATTTTGGTGGTCAAAGGTCAATGTCCTTGTGACCTTGTATCGTGCCTTTTTAGCCACGTCAAGAATTCACACAAATGATAAAATGATGAACTGATGAAATCTTACGTTAAAAAAATCTAAGGTAAAGTCTTGACAGGTGTATCTGTAGACTGCAACATGACTGGTTACTGATGTGAAACTTGTTCATGCATTACCATAGCAGATAAAAAGTCTCATGTTTTTTATGTAAATTTTTTTTTGTTAATGTTTCTCAGAGAAAGAAGCAGAAGCACCTGACAAAGACGTGGGCTCGATGGTCGGCTCTTTTTACAGGACAACCAGTCCGTGACATCAAGTCAGTCTATAACTGTCTGTTACTGTCTGTTAAGGTCTGTCTGTCTTTAACTGTCTGTGACTACTGTCTCAAACAAAATGTTCAGACTTCACTTTCACGTTCACTTTTTGCATACTTCATTGAGTGGTACCCTTGATTGAAAAAAAAAGAAAAGTACAAATTGTATTTTACCATTGATCTGCACTCAGTAACCCAATGCAGCCAGTTTAGAGAGGTGTTTTGAACACCTGCCCCAGAGTGCACTCTGCCTGAGGCTGGGGTGAAGATATAACCACCAGCTTGACAATGGAGTAAAGTATAACACCAGAGTTTATTCGGGACAAGGCTGCAGCTGTTGCAGCAAAAGTCTCCACTTAAACCCTGCAAACCGTGCCTTTGCAGTTGCAGCTCCAAAGCTTTGAAATAGCCTTTTTCTCCCAGTCCTGTGTTCTTTATACCTTGATATTGTGTTGGAAATTTCTGATTAAATGATTAAGAAATATCTGAAAAAGTACATGTTTTCAGTGGCTTTTGGTTACCCTTAATGTGCTTGATATTTAACCATTTTATATTTATTTTATTTTAGAAATAGTTTCTACAAGTCGCTATCCCATTCTGCCTTGTTCTTGGTACAAAAACTTGGACTTCTACTTGTGTTTATTATTACTGTATTAGGGCTGCATGGTGGCTCAGTGGTTAGCACCATTGCCTCGCAGCTAGAAGATCCCTGGTTCGCATCCTGGTTATGACGCCTGGGAGTTTGCATGTTCTCCCTGTTCAGCGTCCAAAAACATGTTGAGGTTAATTAGTGATTCTAAATTGTCCATAGGTGTGAATGTGAATGTCTGTCTCTAAGTGTAGCCCTGTAATAGACTGGTGACCTGTCCAGGGTGTCCCCTGCCTTCACCCTAAGTCAGCTGGGATAGACTCCAGCCTCCCTGCGACCTTACAGAGGATTAAACAGTGTATAGATAATGGATGGATGAATTATTACATTACTGCTGCCTGATTTTACAGCTATGTAAACATTTCAAATAAGAGACTCCTATAAACAGTTGGAAGCAACAAACCAAACTTCCGCCCCTAGCAATGTATTGTCAAAACCCACATTATATTAAGTATGGTCAAACCAGGCGACAGTGAAATGGATAGACATAGATGGTATTAAAAAAGAATACAGGAAAAAGTATATGGTTTTGTAATCATTGTAGTAACTATATATCTGGTTGCTTCACCATGTCTGCCTTTGTGTTTTCTCCACTTAGGTGTTACTTTGGAGAGAAGGTGGCTCTGTACTACCTGTGGCTGGGATGGTACACTAAATTGCTAGTTCCAGCTGCTGTTCTCGGTGTTGTAGTGTTCCTGTACGGACTTGCCTTTTTCAACACTAACCCTCTCATGTGAGTCAGGTGTATGTATAAATAGTAATAATATTAGGCATGCCATAAGTTGACAAAGATTAGTTGTTTTGCATGAGCATAACCTCATTTATGAAGTTGTTAAAGAAGAGTGTCAAATTCACATCTGAATTTTTATTTCGATTAAAGCTTTCGTTTTTGTTTGTGTCTTTTCAGTAAAGAAGTGTGTCAGTCCAACATCACCATGTGTCCTCGCTGTGATAAAAAGTGTACATTGTGGCAACTCTCAGACACCTGTTCCTATGCTAAGGTGATATTAATGACATTTCTTATCTGTTGTCTTCAAATTGCTGCTGTCAGTTGACATTAGAATTCAAGTTTCCAAAATATACAAGATGAATAAGAAAAAAACATGATCAGTTTGCTACAAAAAAACAAAAACAAAAAACCACCACATAGCCAGGCTTGATAAAACCTAGAACCCCACTCAGAGTTGATGGGTATTACAAAGGGGGTAATCAACTTCCTTTATTAACCAAGCTTTCTTCTGCAGACTGATTGTGTGCCACCTATTTCAGTCACGAGACAAAGGCCATTATAATAGAGAGCAAGAGCAATGGAGAAGAATGCAAAAAATTGTTGCTATGAAGCGTTGCTACTGCAAATAATACAAGAGAGGAATGCTGGTTAAAAAAAAAAAACAACAAAACAAAACAAAGCTTCCGTAAGTTGATATACAGTGCCATAAAAAGTAGACTTGGAAATTTTTTTGCAACTCATGCTTGCAGTGTTCTTTTGTCTTCATGGTGTAGTTATAACCAGGAATTCTGATTCACTAGTGACTGGACCTTCTAGATACAGGTTTCTTTATAATACAGTAACTGAGACACATTCACTACACTCAGATCATCTCCATTTCACTAATTGTATCGAGCACCAATTGGCTGCACTTGTGTTTAATTCGGTGAGTCACTTAAAGGGAGTGAATAATTATGTAATCATTTATTTGACATTTTATATTTTTAATAAGTTGATGTTGCTTTGTAAAAAATCGGTTTTCATTTGACATGAAGTAGACATTTAGTAAATTCTTGTCCAAAAATGGAGCATGAGTGTTTAAAAGAGATACATGGGGAAAACCTCTAAGAAGAATAAATACTTTTTAACAGCACCGTATTGATTTTACCATATAGCACGCGCTCAATGCAGCCGCTGCTTTCTAACTTGACAGCTGCAAATTAGAGCTGTTAAGCTGCAGTATCGGCAGCACCAAATGTTCTTTTAAGACCAAATTTTAAAACTTTTTTTTCTTTTCTGTATCGCTGGCTGAATTCATGGAGGTTCCAGTGGAAGCGCAACACATACAGTGTGTACTACTACAACTGAATGGCTTAGTAACCCTTGGTTTTAGTATCATACTTTTCAGCAGGTTTGAGGATATGAGATATTCCCTTTGTTGAAAATCTTTATGACTCATAGCGAATCATCAGGAAAGTAATTGGTGAAAGGAGCTCTGCTACAGCAGCTTAACTATACAGCATCCGTTACAATGAGTCACCTTTGGCTTTAAGATCAACATACCTACTAACCCACGAATCTTACTTTGTAGTACAGCTTTCAAATGTTACTCTGTTTGTGCTGTACAAGATTGTGATCTTTCCTGTTTGCTGAGTGCATGATGTGTTTTTATCCACACAGGTCAGCCATTTGTTTGACAATGAGGGCACTGTGGCTTTTGCTATGTTCATGGCAATCTGGGGTGAGTCTACGATCTAACCTAAGCTGATGTACTCTGATGGCTAATCTAATGTAATCCACCCCGATGTCTAATGTAATCACATTTGGGTGTGTGTGTTTGTGTGTGCACGTGCACGTGTGTGTGTTTTCAGCCACGTTGTTCCTGGAGCTGTGGAAGAGACACAGAGCACAACATGTTTCTCAGTGGAAGGTCTATGACTGGTGTGAGGAGGAGGTACAGCTTTCTGCCTAACTTACAAACCATACAGTATCACTGACTTACGACAAATCTAGTCTTAATACAGTAGGTATGTCTATTGTTGTCTTGCCTGGGATTTGTGCTCCCCTTATCTTAAAATATGTTAATTAGCTTGACTTGATCATAAAAGTTCTCTCTATGCGATTGTTACCTGCGGCGGCCTCTCTCTTTCCCTGGCATGCCACCCCACACCCCTATCCTCCACCCCTCACATAAACATGGACACACATTGTTTTAAACATCTCTCATATTTGAGAGAAATGACAAATAAAGAAATCTTGAATCTTGAGTAATCAATACAAATACAGAAGCAAAGCAGCTGTCACACTGAGATTATATACAATAAAAGACCGTTCAGTTTAATTGAATTAATTTAGGCCAAATCATAAGTCGTCTCAGGGCACTTTATATAGTAAGGTCAAGAAGAATTGTAGACAAAAACCCAACACATACCCTTGAGCACCAGCTGGTAACAGCAGGGACGAAAAAGTGCCTTTTGACGGGAAGAAATTTTCAGCCAAACCAGTCAGAGTGAGCAAACATCTGCCTTGACTGGCTGGAATGAGGGGAGAATGAAGAGAGAAAAGATTAGCATTAAGAAAGAACAGTCAACAGACAAAAAACACTGTTGGTAACACAAAAGATCCACAAACTTTGGTTCAGTCATTATTATTGCTATAGCTGATCAGCTGCTTGCTTTAATTCCTCCTACATCAATCAAACATTTTTTAGATTTGCTACCAAGCTTTTTTCATGTCCCCACTGTGAGATGACGTACACTCCTGATCGAAATCTTAAGACCAGTTAAAAAATGACATGAATTTGCATTTTGCACTGTTGGATGTTCGGAAGGTTCTAAGTAGAGCTTCAAAATGCAAAAAGAAGAAATGGGAACATGGGACCAAAAGTTGTGAGCATTCATTTTATTGAAAACAACAATTTAACTCAAATAGGCTGTTCATCAGCTGACCGAAAGTTTGGATTCCATGTCATTTCCTGTCAAGTAATCACACTGTGAAGATCTCACCTGATATACTCATTCATGTGAATATCATCATATTGGGAGATTTGGTTTGCTTGGAACATGTAGCATGTAACATGTAACCCTGGAAGAGTTAGTTGTATGGTGTCATAGTGTTATGATTCCTTCTTTATGTTTGAATTTTAGTCAGACAAAAACAACACATTTGGTCTTTGCAAATGGAAATACTGCGCATTTAATGCCAGCTAATGAACAGATATTTGGAGTGCTTCACAAGATGTATGTATATAGCAGGTGCAAACATGTGCTAAAACTGATACAAACAGTTTCGTAGTTCCAGTTTTGATTCGGTAAACTGATGATCCGCACAAATGTTTACAATCAAAGAACATTTCAAATTGCCGGAGGAAATCTTTTTCTATAAATTCTCTGGGTTTTAGAGCCTTTGTTTAAACACTTAGTATAACACACAGTTCATTGTAATATAGATATATAATAGAATTCAGTGTGTGTATTACATATCAGTCTGTTTGTGTGTGTCAACAGGAGGAATTGATAATGGAAATAGTCAGTGATCCAAACTGTAAACCCAAACAGTTTAGACACTCCTATTTGCGCAGTACTGTGGTCCTCATCCTAGTAACACTCATGGTAAGTTACACACAATCACTCACATCATCTGTCAGTCTTCATGAGAGTGAGGGCCAGTTATACAACACTGCTGCTCATTGCTAAGCAGACGCATCTGTAACTGTAATGTCATCCCTTAAAGTGAGTGTGCTGTTTACAGGGATACGGATGTAACTGCATACAAGACAAAAAACAGTTCTCAGAGAATGTACAGACTAGACCACATCGAAAGACTTCTCAGAGAAGCCGGCTCAAATTTGGGTATTAAAAGGTGAATGCAGTTTGAAATTCCTCATTCCTTTTATAACGTTGAGCGCTGTAAAAAAATAAAGCGAACACTGAAATAACACATCCTGGATCTCAATGAATGAAATATTCCAGTTGAAAATCTTTATTCATTACGTAGTAGAATAAGTTGAGAACAAAATAACATAAAAATGATCAATGTAAATCTGAAGTATTATCTGATGGAGGTCTGGATTTGGAAGCTTTGGAGCCATTTTGCAATTAACATGCCCAATTCATTTAAAATATCAGATTTTTCGCCAGTCCTGATATGCGTGCAAGTTTTGATGAGTTTTCGAGCATGTTTAGGCCCTCCAAATTGCGTCTTTTTCAGCAAAAAAGAAAGTATAATAGTCATAGCAGTTCCAACAGGGTCTTTGCACTGTTAGGGCTCGGACCCTAATTATGCTTTAACATTAAAAATGTCATTTTGCTTTTAGAGCTTCTACCTACTGTTGTATCAACCATTACAGAAACAAGAAATGGTTTTGTTAATTATCAGTGTTGTTAATTTAGGGCAGCTGTGGCATAAACCTTACATTGGGTGGTTGTCTAATAAAGTTGTTAAGCACTGTATCTTTTAGGAAGGAGATCTTGACAGACCACTGGCTATCACAGGAATGTTCAGTAATTGCTCACATGTTTACCTGCCAAAATAACACAGCCTCACTACCAGTTTTCCCCTCATGGAGTAAAACAAAGAATATATTGGTGTTCTGCAGTTGATGCTGATCATCGGCCTTGCTCATGCTTTGGTGGTGTTTCGAGTGGTGGCTGCCCCCTTGATATCTGAAAGCGAGTGGAAGTTTGCGAGTGACCATGCCAACCCTGTGGCTGTGATGCTTGGTGCTGTGCTGCACTATGTCACCATTCAAATCATGACCCGGGTATGTATACTTGTATCCCGATTCTCACGCTGCATTCACTTTAGGTTTGCAGAATGGTAGAAACAGGAAGGTATTTAGTTTTGCCATCACACCAGAATAGAAGTATATAATACAGTTCAGACCAACATTAGTATTTTGACTTATGTAATAGGCACATTTATTTTGAAATGAAATAATGAATACTATATCAAAATGCTAAGTCTCAGCTTTAATTAAAGTAGATTCACATCAATATTGAAAGGAAGTTTTTATGCAGGCTCTGTCTTGACAATTGACCACCGATTTGTCATCTATACAACTTTGTAATGCACAAACAGTATAACATAATGGACAACACTTCACATCGCCTGCATGACCTACTTATTAAACAACAGCGTTTTCAGTTCAAGGCTTCTTCAGCTTCACTGTAGTAAGAAAGGTCAGAAGGTCATTCCTGCCCACTGCAGTAATGTTGAATTAAATATGAGTTAGTTAGTTGTTCGTCAGTCCATCCTTCTGTCTGACTGTCCAGATGGAGACAACAAACATTAAAAAGTCTTTACATGTGTGTCCTCTGTTCCTGTCTTTAAACTGACAGGAACAGATGGAAGGTTCTGCTGGAGGGTCTTGAAGAAGTGCAAACCAGACTCCTGATCTTGTAAAGTTCTCCCTGTTAAGACAATAATAACTTGTGTCTGTATGTGTGTCTCCTTTCACATTACCTCCAGGTGAACAGATGGGTTTCCCTCAAGCTGTGTCAGATAGGTGAAAACAAAAACTTTATTCATTACATTGTATTGCAAATAATAACAAAATGATAAAATACACTGAAAATGCTGTTTTCCCCATAAATGTAAAATGGAAAGGTTAATGGAAAATATACATTGGTGAGCCATAACTATCTGACTAGATCAAGTAAATAATGTTGATTATCAGGTAACAACAGTCCATGTCATGGTCTGTGATAGGTAAATAAACAGTAAACAAGTATTTGGTTCTTGTTGTTGTTGAAGTTTTACAGCGCTGGAGTTCAGCTGGACATGAGATTCCTCTCTGTCCCTCTGAATTCCAGCGCTGTAAAACTTTACCTGTGACCTAAATAAATTCTGCATCTGAGAACTGAAGATTTCTCCGGCTTGTTCTTGGGCTTCCAACTAAAGAATCGGATCTAACATTGTCAAGAGCCAAGGCTTGTGGAGTGCTCCAGGTCAATGGTGTTGAGTACTTAGCAAGACTGATCACAGGGGGAACAGACAAGGAACCAGCCACAGAGTGTTAAGAGAAGTTCTGGATCGAGTCTGATCCACAGCAACTCCAACAAACAGCTTGCAGGACTTTAAGGACCTGCTGCTAGTGTGCACAGGGCACCTTCAGAGTTTTGTGGAGCCCAGGCCTCAGCCTAATTTGGCTGCACACAAAGCGTCATACATGTTTGACTAGTCAGATCAATTTGTTTTGGCTCAGCACTGTAAGAATACAGTTCTATTTGAATTTTTGACTAAATAAATATTAGATATTTCATCAAATTACTTTTACATGTACTTTCTTTAATGTGTTTCTGTGTGTGTGTGTGTGTGTGTGTGTGTGTGTGTGTGTGTGTGTGTGTGTGTATACAGAGAAGCTGAACTCGCTTGCTGCTACAGAGAGGAGCTTCACAGTCAAGATGTTCACCTTCCAGTTCTTCACTCTTTTCTCCTCTCTCTTCTATGTGGCCTTTTTCCTGGGCAGGTACTCCTTTGATGTCTGTCACAAGCAGTCACAAATAGTGCAAATGATTCGGTCAGACCTGACGTGTTAGTGTTTATAGCCCCAGACCGACAGCTGTGAACAAAAGTTTACATACACTTGTAAAGACCATGTATATAAGATTTGACGTTTAGGCTGCTGGTATCTTCTCACCATGGTTACCTATATGTAGGAGCCAGCCTCATGTTCAGAGGCTTCAACTGGTGCTTGCTGATTTGATGTTGTTCTTATGATGCTGTCTTGTCATAGAATAAATGGCCATCCAGGAAACTACGTGCGCCTCGCTGGTTTTCGACTGGAAGAGGTAAGAAGATTCACTTAAAGTTCAGACTTTCATACAGGCGTATACACTACAGTGTTGATAGATGTGCTGCGGGTGTCTTGTAGTGCCATCCAAGTGGCTGTTTGACAGACCTTTTCATCCAAATGGCTGTGATCATGCTGCTGAAACAGACTCTTAACAACATCTTTGAGTTCACTGTGCCGTGAGTGTGCTCTGTTTTCATTTACCTTCTCATGTAATTCAGCAATTGATGAGTCTGTGTGTACTGCAGGACGTTATCAAAAAACACTGTTTATGTGCCTGATCCTTCATTCATGTGTTTTTCAGCTGGTTGAAGAGCTGCCTAAAGAGAAACACTGCAAAGAAGCTGCAGAGGAAGTGTGGTTATTGTTACAGGAAGGCCTGTCGTGATGCACAGGGACGTGTTGAGCCATGTGATATCTGCAAACTTCGTGACTGGCTGCGTAACTACCACCTGGCTGACACTGATTCCTTTAGCCTCTTCAATGAATACCTGGAGATGGGTAGGTCCAAAGTCTCCCTTTATCTGTCTGTCACACCTGTAAAGCTAACTCAGTGGTTTAAAGGTGGATTGTTTCCTCACATAAAACCCTATTTGGTTTTTGTGAAATAGTTTTGTTTCTGTGTGCAGAGTAAAATAATGTTAGCTTTTAAAATAAAACTAGAATGTTTGGAAAAGCTGTGGTAAAAATTCCTTGATCTGTTTAACATAGCTCCCATAGGCACACATGCTCTCTCTCTCTCTCTCTCTCTCTCTCTCTCTCTCTCTCTCTCTC